TATGCTGCACAGGTATCCAGCTCCCTGCAGCCACTGAAGTGGGGAGGGTGCTCATGGGGGTTTCTTTTAATAAGGCTTGTGTGGAATTTTCTGTGTACGTGTGCAGGGTTAAGGCGCACTCAGGTAAACGGTCCTTACAAAAGGAAAAGGATGCTTAACGGATGCTAACAAGTTAAACAGTAGAGTTAAATAGACTGATTAAATAACTTTCTTTGCACCAGCATTACCTAATTAGATTATGAAACCTGAGAATGCTTTAAACATTAACTGATTTTTGCCATCTTGTTTTCTTTCTGAGAGGTTGTGGAGCTTGCTCCCCACAACTGTCTCTGCACCCAGTGTAAGCAGAAGTCACCGCTCTGGTGTGGTTAAAAGGGAGCGTTTAATTAGTCATGAGTGTAAGGCAAGATTTCGTCCAAGCTTAAAAAGCAGCCGGCTTTATATCCCCTCACACCCAGCTACACATGAGGCTGGTGAACGTTTCCACGGGGTCTGATACCTCCTTCCCCTGCAGACACTGCTGGCCCTGCCTGTGTCCCCATGCGTGTCCCACTTGGTTTGCTGCTGCACTCCTCCCCTCTTCAGTGTCAAGGGGCGAGCACTGCAATCGCATTCTCAGCTCACCCTGCCAACCCACTGGGTAATCTTCGTTCTGGTGGGAAGCTGCTGCTCACTCAGACAAACAGCTTTCCGCAGAAGTGACACGCACCAGTTGCTGTTCACGGTCTGGTGAGAGGAGGGGGAGCTAGAACTGGGGGCACTCCAAACAGCCCCACAATGCATTTAGCCGGTGACTAATTAGCTGATTGCTGCAGTGATGGCCTGAGGCTGCAGAGATTGGTACCTGTCCTCTCTGTGGAAGCTCAGCTCTGGTGAGGAGCCCAGGCTGGCCTAAGGAAGGAGCGATGGCCTTATGGGTTTGTGTCTTTCAGGTGTGGGCACGCAGGATGGGGAGATGGGACTGAGAGCAGCACTTTTCCTCAGGAGTGCATGGCCAGGGTATGTTAGGAAATGGTATTGAAGGTGTTTAATACAAGAAATCAGCAAACTTCAGAGGCTGTGCTCTTTTGTCCAGTTATTAGAACATTTTTTATTTGTGCTGCAAAATCTTCTCTGTCATATCCATTACAAGCAGGGGGCATTTGTTTGCATGGCTGAGTGTTTGCAGATGAAACTCTTTCAGAGCGAGATGCACGCTGGCCTGGCAGAGCAGCACCTCTGGGACACTGATGTCGCTTGGCACTCCAGGCTCAAGCGAGCAAGGGCCTAGTCGACCATGTTGCACGCCCTACCGCATCCAAGCTGCTGTTCAAGCGCTTGGAAGAAAATGCATTTGAGTAGAGCATCAGTCTCAAACCTTCTGCTAAGCCTCAAGCATAGGACTGCCCAAGTAAAGCATAGGGATAATTTACTTGTCTAAAGGTCTAAATGTTGAGAAGAGTATAAGGGGAAATATAAAAATGGAAAATGTTGAAAAATACAAATTCACTTCTTGATTAAAATGGGGCAGCTACTGAGAATTAAAAAAGGAGAATACCAACCTGGAGTCAAATTTTGGCATTAAATCTATTCAGCCCCTCCAGATGTACAGGAGCAGAATGATGAAAAGCATGCGTTATTCATTTTTAAATCCACTGAAATATTCTTTTTATCCCTTTAATTTGTACCGACAGATTCAGAAAAGATTTAGGCTCTATTGCTCCCCAGTGAAGCACAAAACATACGTCAAAGTCAGAAATCAAGCAAGGACTCGGGGCACAGTGATGTTCTTGCACAGTGCTGTCACCGGTGTGCCAGGGCAATGGAGTGATGTGGTGCCTCATGGCAGGTAGGGGTGAAGTTGCCGCAGAGGAGATACATCAGAGGAGGGCAGAGTGTCACAAGGATGGAAGCCTATGGGTTAGGAGGAGTGTGATACCAGGCACAAAGGATGGGTGTTTGTTTATTGCTAAGTAGCAATAGAAAGAGTCTTTCAGTCTTGATCCTCTGCTTCCATATCCTCATGAAACCTGTGGCAGCCCAGCCCTGCTCTGACCAGCACATCTGGTGGGAAGTGGGGGGCTCAGCTCAGGGTTGCAGCCCCTGCTATGCTAGTGCAGGGTGTGGATGTTACAGCACTGTGTATGTGTATGTCTGTGGCAAACTGGAGCCTGGTGCTTGTGCTCTGCAGGTTGGGTTTAGCTCCAGAGAGGATACGCAGCACATCTTTGTGCATAGGGGCTCCTGTGCCACTGGGGGGCATGACAGCTTCCACTGCAGTGTGTCATAGAAAGCATCCACACGCTTAGGTTTCAAGGACAAAATGCTGTGATCTAAAAAACACTCTAAGGGTTTTGTTTTACTGGAGTAGCAGTGAGTCCTATGGGGGGGTTTATCTCTGTAACGTTCAAGGGAGCAGGAGAGCAGATTTAGCTGGTGAAGCAGCTAGAAAAATGTTTCAGCAGCCACGCTAGCAGTGCAGGTGCCATTTTCTGCTGACAGCCAGTTTCACAATGTACCTTCTCCACTCAGCCCTTCCCCAGGGACCCCCTGCAGCAGCTGCATACACGCATGAGCAACTCATGTCACCGTGCCAGTCAGGGAGCTGCAGAATATCAGGTAGTGGCAGAATGAAGAGCTAAGCACCTCCCGATTTCGGATGAAGCTGATCCGCGCGGATTCTGTGTTTTGTTCACTGGTTCTCTGTTGCTACACTACTTGGTATGCAGTTCATACAGCTCAGAGAGACACAGCACATGCTCCAGCAGTCACATACAGGTGCTGCTGTGGGGCTGCTCAAGCCAGCAGCTGCCAGAAACTCCACCTCTCTTTTGGGTTATTTTTATTTGTGGAGATGTTTGGATGTGACTGAAGGGGAATATAATTTACCCAGATCCATGTCCTAACAAGCACAAGGTGCTGAAGCAGTTCAGGTGTGAGAATCTCTGTCCTTTCTCTTAAATGACTATAAGTTGAACTGTTTCACAGCAAAACCTGCACAGCAATAGGTGTCGGTAATATGTGCAGGAAGGAGCACTGAACATAGGGCCACTGTGTTTCCCACTCGTGACACACCGAGCAGCAGCACCTGGGAGCTGCCCAGCCCTGCCCCAGGCTGGTGGCACCATGGGTCTGTCTTGGCACATGCTTTAGACCATACTGAACTTACAAATACAGGGTTGTGTGAATGGAGCTCTGTCTGCTTACCTTGCTGACCAGCCCAGTGGTGAATGTACATTTGTCAGGTTTTCATCATCCAAAACCCCTGACTTGTCTGCCCCCTGCCCATCAGTCCTGGGCAGGAATCACACCGGGAGCAGCAGTATGAGGTTACAAGATAAATGTCATTTCCTCAGAAGTCTCTGGTACAACACAAGGTCTGTGCCTGCTCCTGCCTGGTTCCAGTGGAGCAGTGGGCATAGGATCAGAGGAGCAGATGTCTTCAGTTGCAGCCAGGGTACTCTAATTGCTGAGCTGGCAAATGTCTACTGCCCATCCGAACCTGCCAGCTGCAGGATCAGCAGCAATATTGTAATTACACGTGAGTGCTGTCACTGCTCCAATACCTGATCCACTTGTTGGAGAATCAGAAGCATGAATCTGAAACCAACTCTGCAGGTCTGCTGCTATGTTTGCAGTCCTTGGATGACTCCAGAGCAGAAGTGCCAAATCCTTCCCATTTGTATGTTGTTATACCCTCAGCAACATGCACCTCTGGAGTGGAAGGGGCAATTCAGCATAAGTTGAAACTTCCTGTTGATGTAATCTGGATGGGCTGAAGGGAGGGAGGACAGCCAGGACCTGCCAGGAGCTTTGCCAAGATGAATGCCAGCACATCAAGCCCAGATTGCCGCCAACCCTGCAACCTGCAGGGGAATACAGCAGGACCTGCTGTGCTCTTCCCCTCACTGTGATTTCCAGGAGATGATGGATGCTGGGCTTTGTTTGCAGCCTGAAAACTCAAATCCGTTTCACCTCTCTGTATGCAGCCTGAATTGTGCAGAGGCCTCTGGAGAATCTCCTGGGAGGTGACAACAGGGCTACCTGTGACTCCCATGGCTTCTGGTCCCCTGCCTTGTGCCTCTGTCACTGGAAAAATCAGCGTAGCTGCGTATTCCTGCAGGTCTCACAGGAAGCCCTACCTGCCCTTGCTAGGCATGGCGTGTTGCTTCTGTGTAAGAGGGAGGAGTGAGCACAGCAGGAGCTACAAGGAACCACTTCACCTTTATGAAGAGCTTTTGAGGATGCTGCTCCTCAGAAGGCAGCGCCATCCACACAGGAACATGCATGAGGGCAAAGCCCCCTTGCCTGTGCATCCTTGTTTTTCTCTCAATTCCAGCAGTTTCTGCCCAACTTTGCAGCAGCTGCTCGGTGGCAGCACCTCCTTGCAGACCCGATTGTTTCCTCACATCTAACCCACCTCTGACACCCTCTGGAAAAAAACAAACCTGAGTCATCTCTCGCTCCGAACGTCTCACACCAACTTCCCTTCTTCCCCCAGCTTCCAGCAGCAAAGTGCACAGCAAAAGGTCTTCTTTTTCCCAGGCATTCCTGAGTCACTCTTCAGCTACAGGAGAGCAAATGGTCTCAAGGCAAAAGATCTATTAAAATTATTTTCCTGCTGTTTTCTGGCATTCTCAGTCTGGGATTTTGAAGCAAGTTGGGAAGGGAGTGGGAAGGATGAGGGGATGGTTGGAACTAGATGATCTTAAGGTCCTTCCCAACCCTAACCATTCTACGAGTCTATGAAGTTCCATAGAGGTTTGCATTTTACTGCCGGCAGAAAGCTTGCTTTAGGGCTAGGAGATAAAAGCAGCACAGGAGATTGTGTTTCCCCTTCTAATACAAGATTCATGCCCAATCTGTCTCTCCTTACACAATGGAGTGCAAGGCATGCCATTCCAGCAAGCCTCTCCAGGCACCAGAGAAGGAGCAGTGGGCTCTGCTGTAGCTTTTCAGGACAGCTTTATTTTACCTGCTTGTCCGCAGGAGCTGTTGGCTTACTTCATTAATAGCAGGGCTCTTGCACCATATCAGCTTTCATCTGGAAATGCAGTTTTCCTTTGAGAAATTGCTAATTATTTTCCAGATGAGCAGACTGAAAATGAGTAGTACACCCAGTGTTAAGGGAGAGATGAATTGCTGCCCGGCAAAGGGCAACCGCTCCCTCTGTGCCACAGAGGAGATCGCTGACCTTTACAGGTAAGCCAAAGGAAATGGGTTCTGTCCTCCTTGGTCCTTTCAGAGAAAACCAGAGCTGGAGGTAAACAAGGGGCCAGGGTGAAGCAGTGATATTGTGTTGACAGCGATTTGTGCAGTGTGTAGGAGCCAGCCCTGCTCTGAAAAATGAGACTCTGAATGAATAAATCATGGGCCCTCTCTTAGTAACTTGACAACTCAGTGCAGCCCTTCTGGTGGTGGGAGCTGGCTGGAGCCCTGAATGCAGGGAGGGACTCATCGTCCGGAGGCTTTTAAGGGCAGGATCCACCTGCCTCCAGTTTAGGAGCTTCTCTGTGGGAAGCCTTGCTGTGTAGTGTGGGACCATGGAGGGAAACGCGCACCTCCTGCAGGTCATCTGCAAGATGCGTTCCCAAATCAACAAGCTGGAGAGGGAAAACAGGGCCCTGAGGGGAGAGCTGCGGGTCTGTGGGCAGAGAGCTGAGCCACCGGAGAGAGAGGCAGCAGGAGGAGGTGGGAACAGCAACGTGAGGAGTCTCACCGATGATGATGGGGAAAGACCAGGTGGCTCTCCAGCATCCCTGCATGAAAGCGTCGTGGCTGGTCCTGCTCCAGCACCAAAGGAGCAGAGAGGTACTGAAAAGCCAGGGCTGTCCACGGCACACACATATGCTGCCTGTGCAGTATGTCCCAGCCCAGCTGTTACGTGTCTGCAGGGAATGGGAGACAGCCACTAGCTGTATGTCTAGTTAACCTGATGGAAGAGCCCAGGACTCACTCAGTGCCCATACTCAAAATCATTTTAACTGGGTGTCTCATTCTGTGACCTGTTTAGTGGGGTACCTGCATCTCCCAGGCTGAGCTTAGCAGAGTATTTTGTGGCTGCTCCAGCAGATTTCAGCTGAAGGAATTCAGCTTGTCTTTGTTAAGCAGAATTTTACTTACTGCTTTGAGTTTTCATGGGCATGCACTATCTTTCCTACGCCTGTCCTCTGCCTGTTCAGACCGAAAAGGACCAGCAGTTGTAATCATGCTGTAACCCTTCTTGCCTTAGCAAAAGGTGATAAAAACTCTACAAATAGCAACAGACACAGATGGCATACATCATGCCAGATGTGCAGTTTGTTTTTGCAGATAATGCAGTCGGTTTTGGCTGAAGGAGAGCCAACATACAGGAGTACACTCTCTTCACAGTTTTATCAGAGGGAAAAAATGGAAATATTCCTCAGTTACAGAAGGCTGGCTGGGACTTGGGAGGATTTAATGAAGCAGGAGTTGGAATAAAATGTTGTTTGGTGTGAGAAGTAGTTATCTAGAATTGGATGTGGTTATTGGCAGCGTCAGGCAGTTGCCTCCTTGTCTGATGTCTGTCTTGTCCAGTACAGTGGAAAAGCTGCTTCACTAACACAACTTCTTGGCATTAGTGTGGTGTGTGTTATGAGTTGCAGCTGCTGTTACAGTCCATGTGCTCCATAGGTCTGGAGGGTGACCTAGCCTGAGCCCTGAACCATCCTCCTAGAGAGCTCCAGGCCATGGAGAAAAGCTCCCACAAATTTTGGCAGAGACAAGTCCATGAAAATGAATGAGATGAGAGGCTGAACAGTACAGCTAGATGGGTGCTGCAATCAAGTAATGCCCACTGACAAGCCCACTGAGCCTAGTCCTCAGGTTACTAACACTGGGCCTCTTAAACTGGGGCTGCTGGTGGCTGTGGATGTCTCAGCTTGGGAACAGTTGACTGGTCTTCCATCACACATGAAAGATGTGCACAGTGCTTTCCAACCTTGTGGCATTTCCTCTCCAGCTGACTTTTAGGGGCAAGGGTGGGATCCAAAGGGGCTGCTTGATCTTTCTGCCTGTCAGCCTCCCCACATACAAAAACTTCTTTAAGCCAAAAGAAAGTGATTAAAAATACATCGAGGATATCTGAATTTTCATAGTTATTATTGTTCCTAACTCTGCTTTTGTCTCTACTACTCAGATACCACCATGACCGTGCGGCGCTACTCCACTGCGCCACCAGCACCTGCTCCTGCCAGCACGAGGGCTCACTGGCTCAGCAAGACACCTCCAAGCAGTGGGCTCTCAAATGTGCCACCAGCCCCTCCTGCTGCAGCACAGCTCTCCAGGGGAGAGGAGAAAGGGCTTGGAAAGACAGCAGCAAACTGTCTCTCCCACAGTCATTCCAGCAAAATGAAACTGTGCCAGGAGCACGTCTGTAAGTGCAGGTAGGTTCAGTTTGCCTGGGCTGGTTGCAGGTTCCACCTAATAGCATCTATGGATGTTGCTTTGGGGTTTAGTTTGCTGTCAGTTAAATCTTTGTTCAAATGTATATGGGCATGGGGCAGATGTGAGACGCCTTTTGGGTAAGTTGTCCTTCTTTTCTTTGCAATGCATGAAGATTGCCAGGTTTAGCAGTGTAAATTTGCTAGAAAGGAGAGGCTGAGGGGGGAGAGAAGGGGGTTGAAATCTCTCTATTAAAGCCAGGAAGAGCTTTGCAGATTGATGTGTTGTTCTGACAAGCTAAGCTTGAAAAGGATTTTTAAACTTCAAGCAAAAAGTGTGGACATATCAAGGAACTCTGAACTACACTTTTGAAAGTGTGATTAATGTGGCTCATGGATTTAGATGTACCGTATCATATTTCCACTGTAATTGAAGCATTACAAGTTAATGCATTCAGCCCTGAGAGATATATTCTCAGGACAGCTTCTAAATTAAGTGAAATGGCTGCTGGACAAGCCCGGAGTGTCTCTGCTCACTGATGAGAAGCTTTCCAGCACAGGGCAACAATCAAAGGTAGGAGCACTAATAATGAGACTGTGACACATGATAGCCCCGGTCGTTTCCTGGTGCTGATAGACACACCCTGGGATCTGCGTGGATTGCTGGGTTTAGTGCTCGGAAGAAAAAGAATCCAACACAAAGGTGTGTGTTTAAACAGGGAAAAGCCCATGGGTCTGACTTCCCCATGCATGTGCCAGGGCAGGGCTCCAGCGGCCTCTCCTTGGGGCTGCGTGGCTGTGGCAGGTTGTGCTGCCTGGGCTGACATACCCATCCACATGGCACATCATGTCAGGTTTTATTCTGTAGCACCCGCACACAGCAATGTGTCCTCAGAGCAGACCAGTGCGCAGCCCCTCTCACTTCCAATTAGGAGCCCAGCTCCTTGCTGAGAGGCTAGATGGGACAATGAGGTCAATTTTTCATAGTCACCTAGGTTTTCTTGTAAAGATGTTTGAGAGGGAGATGTTTTACAGCATTTAAACACCTAAACTGAGTCCCTGGCAGGGAACTCATATCGTTTTCAAAAGCACCATGACCCTCTAACTCTGGATTTCAGCATATGCTCCACTGGACTCAGGGAAACTTGAGACTCCCAGTGCACATAAATGTTTCTGAGAGGTCTGCCCTGAAGCCAGCTCACTTGGAAAGCATGTGTCAGGAAACACAGGGTCAGCATGCAGGAGCAGGGACAGCAACAACAAATGCTGCTGCTTTCTCATTAGGGGACAGAGCTTTCAAAATAACAACATAGATCTATTACGACTAATGCCTTGGGACCTACAGGTTTAAAAGCACTGGTTACCCAGCGGTGACAGGAATGGTGCTGATTATTTTATCTCTATCTTTAAAGCTGCCTTGTTAGGTCTGAACAGCAGTGAGTGTGATATTGTGACTCATGCCCACTCAGTGTTGGCTGCTTTAGGAGAAGAAACGGCTATGGAAAGAGCTTCTTACCTAACCCTCTCAGCAGACTGGGTGATACCCTGAAGCACGAAGCTTTGTGTTTCTTATATCAGAGAGAGTTCAATATCTTTTCTGCTCATAATGGTGAATGTTTCTATTACATACACAAAGGTCAAACACAGGCATCAATCTTAGTAAGCTTTTAACTAGTAAGATAATTTGTGACAATGAGTTCAGCGAGCTAATTAAGCCTATTTTTTTTTAGTAATGACATTTTTGCTTCCCAGCTTGCTGGTGCATATCAGTTTTTTGTATTCCTTGCTTATTGCAGTTTACTCACATTCAGCTCCAAAGCTATAATCCTATATGTAAAGCTGAATATTTTTGCTTTAAAATTAACTCTGTAGAAGTATCATCTTGGGTTTATTTAGAGTGCAGTTGCATCTAAGTAATAAAATAACAGCACTGCTAACAAATCATCACTGATTTGCATGTCTACTGCATTTTCATTCATGCTAAAGTATTATTTGTACATGCAATTCCCACTTCTTTGGTAAATTAAAAAAAAAGAACAGGGAGTCTAAATATCTGAATACCTTGGGGGGAATAAGAGAGGCTGAGAATAGTTTTCAGGGCTATTTTAGTAAAATTACAAAAGGTACAAGGCATCTTTGGTACAAACTATTGTGGTGTTCAGGCTTGATGGTTTCATCTTCCAGTGGAACAGGTCTAATTGGCAGGTGGGAAGGGGTAAGGAAACCTTGGAAGTCCTCTGCCCTGCAGAACACCTCCCAGTAACCACCAATAAATAGTTTCATGATTTTCCTTTCTCATGCTCCTCGAGGGCCTGTGTGAGCTGACAGCAATCGCAGAGGGCAGTCAGAATGAAAACCAAAGTTCTGCAAAACCAACCCATTAACTTGCCAAACCAAGCAGGCTTGGGACACGCAAAGGAGCATGTTTTCACAGCTGATGTAATTTACTGTGCAGGCTCTCACTGCTTGAAAACCTTTTGCAGTATGTAGGTACTAATGCATATAAACATCTTCAGTGGCTTTACTGTAGAATTACAGGATCCAAGCTACTTGATTCTGTGATTCTGTAAGGCCACTGAAGGACCTTCTGGGTCCATCTGGGTGCTTGTGCACTCTGAGACGTCTGTATGCAGGTAGCTTTGTACATACGGGTCGGGCGCTGATGGAGAGATGTGAGGCTCAAAGGTAAAAAGCAGATGCTTCCAGCAGATGAACAGATAGGCAGACAACACTGTGCTCAGTCCCTTGTGAGACCATGTGAGCAGCATGAAATCCTGCTTCCATACAACATGTAAGTGCTGAAAACATTTACCACCTTCTTGCTCTTGTGTTTGGGTTTTGTTTGTTTGGTATTTTTTCACTCTCTTTGCACATTTTATACATCTGTAATCCTCATAATGCTTTCTCATTTTTCTCTAGGGGAAAAATCAAGGCTGTTACTTTCCTTTTACCAATGGATATGTCATCATATTCTGAAAAGCAAGATTCCCTCAAAAGCCCACAAAATCAGAGCACAAAACAGCTAACCACCATCGCTGAAAAGGATATGTAAGCTGATGAATTTTTAAAGGCCCATTGATCCTCAAGATAAATTGGCCTTAAATGATAGCTGTGTGTCGGGTTCCTCTCCTGCAAAACGCTTGGCAGGATGCCTGCAGAGAACCACCCAGCTTGTGTTTCAGGTCACTGGCCTGATGTTTAGCATGGAAATGGAAGCCACGACAAAGCCATCTGGAAGCCCATACACCATGATGAAGCCACATGATAGTAAAGGCACCTCCACAAAGCTGCTTCACAACATGCATCGAGGATCCCTTACCTTAAGACTGCTTTAACTAGTGTGTTGAAGCTGGTTTTCATGTATTTGTCACAAAAAGTGGAAAAAATGTCACCACTTGTGTTTGCTGATTCCCTTGCTAGGAAGGTATTTTGATGCGAATGATTAAATAAGAGCTATTAAAGAGCCTGTGAGGTTTTCTATCTACATAAAACTTCACAGTACTAATGCAGCAAAGAAGATGTTTGAGAGTCAGTTAATGTTACCCTGAATTTCTGCAAAGCTTGGCAATGACTGTTCATGTCCATTTAGGTTTCACCTCTAAGGGAGTGCAGGGGAGAGTAAGCGCTGATCAGTATAAAAAGCTGACTATAAATTTGTTTCTGGTGTGTTCATCCAGACAGACACTAAAGACTCATGTTTGAACACAAAGGCAAAATATGGAGAACTGTGAATGTCAGAATTTTTTCAGGAATGGATTGTCTCAGCACAGTTTGGATCTAAAATCATTAGCAGGAAATCAGGAAATAGGTGCAAAGTAAATGCGAGAGAGGACTACAAACAGCTTGTAAAAAATGAGGATTTCTTGTTAGTTCTGTTCATGTGAGTAAAAAAGGTGTCCCACGTGTTTATTTTTATCACTAGTATTCATGGAATCAAAATACTGCACAGTGCTATTTCTTAACGCACGGGCAGCATGATGATTAAATATTGTACAGAGGATGCATGAACAGTGGATGTTTGCACCAATAACTTTAAGGAAGACTTTCACCTCATTATCTACTTCCACTCTTGAACTTTCAAAAGTGAAAGCAAAGACCTGGTGGTAAAAAGTCCCTTCTGGATTTTCCATGATGTTGCATACTTGTATACAACTCTGTGATGTTTATTTCCTTTCGCAATTCACCATGTTTCATATAGTCAGGTACAAATTCAGTATATTCTCACCACTGAAGTAATAATTCCAATTTCACTGATATTTTATTAGTGGATTTTTATGTTCAGCTTGGGTCCACAGAGGGCTGCATTGTAACGTCAAAAGTAATGAATCAGACTGCTAGCAAAGGAGGTTACCATTTGTTCAGTAAAACTTACTGAACAGCTCATTTTAAAAGGCATTTACAAGAAGCAACTGTTTAAATGTTTTAAAGAAAGCTTCATTGTCAGAAGATGTGCGTTCAGTTAAGTACCTAAATCCAGCTGATTTCACTTAGCAAAGTAACTATAAACTTTGAAAATCTGGCCACTACACGTTTAAAGTGCCTGGGTTCTTGAATATTCATGTTTGAACACCAAATTTAACAGGATTTGGGAATCCATATGCTTTAGACAGCTTTCAGAAGTCTCAACTTTTAACTTTTCTAAGCCTCAGTTCCATGAAGCAGCAGTGGGAATTCTTTTCTTCCACCCTTTTTGTATCAATTCAATGTAGATAGATCACTGACAGTAAGATTGAATATTGGTAAGCTTATGACAATGTCAGTTGTAGTGGGCTGCTGATTCTGGTGTCACACAAATACATGTAACTTTGCGTATGGTCAAGAAATTAAGCTCACTGGACATGCATTAGAGGTATAATGGTCTTGAACTTTTGTATACTTGTAGGGAAAAAGAACAGAAAAAGTGGAAGGTAAAAGAGGGAAAGGAATCAAAGTAGTCATAGGCAAATGTCAGTCAGCATATTAATGGAAAGATTTATTGTTTAATGATATTTTTGCAGTCTTTAGCAGTGCCCACAGATTTAAGAAGACAAGATGATGCACAGGTACATTAATTTTTAAAAGCAGTTGTGCAGATTTGACCTAGCTCTGCACCTCCAGAAGAACCAGTTTGTAGCAGAGGTCACAGAGAAACCACTGAGCACATCAGTTTTACCACAGCACAGCATGAAGTCACTTACCATGGAGCACTTAATGCCTATTAAAACATTCCAATATAAAACATTCATAGATTGTTCAGTGCAGAAAGAGCAGGTATAAGCAAAGCAGATGTTAAAATTTGGACAGAGAGATGCAGGCAACAATTAAGCCATGGTATTTTTCTTCTTCCCAAGAGGATCCATACAAGTTCAGAGGAGCTCTGCATTTCTACCTAAAACCACACTGGAATATATCTATATTAAGCCTGGAATATATACTAGCCCCTAGTCATTGATGGCCAGTCTTGTTGAACAATTTCCAATTGAAAATTCTTCCTTTAGGAGAGGTGGTCAGTGGTATTCAGCCATGCAGGCATGGGACTGCAAGAGCAGCTGAGACAGCAAGAGGTTCCCTCCTGCATTAGCAGTGGCCACTGAGAGATGTACACTCCTGTGTCACACTTGTGCCTGGGCCTAAGGGGCTTTATATTTCTGTAGCAAATGCCAGTAAAGATGGTGGTGAAATTTAGATGCTGTGTGTCTGAGAGTAGCACACAGTTAAATGTTTGAAATCTCGATACTCACTTTAATAATCCTGAGATGCATCTTCAACCTACAGTAGATCTCACCCTTGCCAAAACAATGAACAGTGCCTAGATAGAAAAATCCTTATAAATAAATAAATAAAGCAATCCTGCCATTTGTAAAACTGCACTCTCCCAGAATGTTGCTGCTCAGCTGTACCGTGGAAAGTGCTTATGTTAAAGGGTGTATCCACATCAGCATTTCAGCCAGAGTCAGGAGTACTCTCCTGAAGGAATTTGCTGGTCAAACCCACTCACTGTGCTTTGTTTCACATTGTAGAGTCGTCTCAAATCACCCAAATGGATTTCTTACTGTTGAAACTAAGTCAGAGAATGTGCTTATAAGGTAACGGGTATTTAGTGCATGGGAGCACAGTAGCAAGCCCTCTGAAATATCTATAGTGTGGACAACAACACTGTTTTTCACTTGACACATCCTCCTCTGCTGGTCTGAACTACTTCTAATGTAGAAAGAGCTGTAGAGCACCCAGACAGGGGAGCTGCTGTCTCACAGATTTAAAAATAAAATCTAACCAGGTGAAATTTCATCTTCTTGTACTATAGAGAGGAGGAAATGCCTTTCATCAGCCTTACCTCTCTGCCTGGTGTTTAAGGAGCTTCACTCTTGCTGCACACACAGAGGTGGAAATGTGATGCTCCAGACTGTAACAGAGGAGTAATATTATCATCTTCTCCAGTGAGTTCTTGCTTAAAGTTCAAATGGTGTGCATCCTTAGACAATGAATCCACATCCAAAGTGGGTATTGTTATGTGGGGCACATCTTCTGTCCAAATCACCCTGTACAAGCACATTCCACATACTCCAAGCTCCATTTATTTAGGAGTGAGGGCATAATTTATGTGTGCCAAAATTGCCCACAACCTTTATATCCATTGTAGTTTTGCTCCTATGTCTTAAATCACTGACAGCTGAACTTCAGTTTTTCTCAAGCATAACCTAAGGATGTATCAGCATGGAATTAGTTCAGCTGAGGAGCCTCTGACACAAGGTAAGTGATGTTGATCTTTCATGCTGTTATTTTCCATGACACTGATGACATTAATTCTAGCACTGACAGGCTTCCTCTGTAGACCTGAAACTTCAATTTTGTTTAGCTGAGAAATTACATTGCAACTTATTTGAAGGTCTCAAGTAGCTCATAGGCCTTGAACAGTCCTTCAGTGTTGTGATGGATTCAATGCTACATAACTCCATTAAGTGCATATCCTTCTACAATTATCTAAGCACAGCGTGGTTCAAATGTCTCAGATCTTGTTTTACTGTTGGGTGCTATAAAGTGCACAATATTTTCTCTTCAGGAAGGAAAAATACGGGTTGTAGTAGATCTATTCTGCATGTCTACTGCACAATGCCTTTACCCAACAAAAGACCTGTTAACAGATTAATCTGTCATCACAGTGAGTATGTAGATCAAATTCTGCTAACCTTACACAGGGAAGTTGTTGGCTGTGTCAAGTCAAGACAGATGGTCACTTCAGGGAATGTTTCTTTTACGGAAAGTGCTCGTTTGAGTAGGACTATTTCAGCGGGATGAGTCACCTCTTTCTCAGTTGCTGCATCAGATAGCAAAAAGCTATTTTTACATAGGGATATTCAAAGACATGGCAGAGGCTGAAAAACACATCTTCGAAGCATCTTTCAGTGTTTTCCTTCTCCAGTAGGAGTATTATATGGCACATATAGATTGAGTAAAAAAAAATAATCCTCCATTGTTTTCTTTTTGCTGAAAACTGTGATGTCTTTTTTCTTTTTGTTTGGTTTTGTGGTGGTTTTTTTTTAAAAAATCATGTGGTACTTGATATACAAATCAGCACAACAGCAAACTGCACAAAATCATAATAAAGTTGCTTTGTTTAAATGTAAAAAGTAAGAAACTTAGAGTAAAGTGCAAAAATTAGAACGAATGTTTCTATTCCGTGGCTCTTCAGTAGCAGGTTTGACTCTTCCCTGGTTTGGAGGACAAGAACCATCATCTGCATGCTGGTTGCCATGGAGACTCCCATCACTTTTGGTATCGTAAGTTTTGCCTGAAATGAAATACTCATTCAGTGTGAGTTTTTAATGACTGTAGGTTTGTGTTTGTCAGCACCATGGATTAACCACCACATCTAAGCAGGTGGGAGGAAAGCGAGTAAAACATTTCCTAGTAATCAGCAACAACATATTTTGTCTGTATAAAATGCACAAAATACATCAGTAGAGTTGCATTAGATTAGACTATTATGGCACCAAATGCATACCAAATCATGCAGTGTAAATCAAATGCATTAGATTAGACTATTGGCATCAAATTTGATCAAATTAAGTATCAGCTACTTCAAAAGAAAATGAACTTGGGGCATGGCAATAAATCCTTCTGACTCCTGCAGGAAACCAGCTTGAGGACAGCCAGGTGCATAGCCAGTGATGTCTCTCTTTCTCGGGCTGGAGTCAATAAGGGCTTTCCCATAACTACAAATAATGACAGCTTTTCTAGGAGAAAAAAAAAGTATGCGTGAACAAATGGTGCTGTTCATGGGAAGAGCGGTCTAACATTTAGCCATTCTGTTCTGCACTGCCAGAAGGACTCTGGGGTTTGACAGCTATGTCAGCTTCTTTCTCCCTAGTGCACAATTAACACCTGGGATTGCTCTGAAAGTGTATTTGTTTGGCCCTGAGCAGTGTGCAGAATGGTTAGTTTCACCAGCATGACATGTTGGCATGAATTCCTGGTTCGAGTAAAACAATGGTTATTCAGAAGAGGAATATAATGATGCTGCAAGATTAAGCCTCAGTTACTTCCTAGTTCTGTTGTCTTTGTTGGATGGTAACTGAATAACTACCTGTTAAATCTGCAATTTTGGCTTGATTTCTTCTTTTGAGGCTGTTCTGTTCATCTGTGGGGCCATCAGTATATTTCATTGCAATGGCTGGAGTCTGGTCTTTCTCTGGCTGAGTCTGAGTAGCTGAAAGAACAGAAAAAGATACTTAACTGAGTTGTATTAACATTCATTTGTTCAAGAAGGAAAAGCTATGTCAAGTTGACTCTACCTGGTGTTGTTTCCATCCTGCCTTCTTGAATGGACTGAGCAGATTCGCGGCCAGAATCTAAGTCTTTCATTGGCCTTCCCATTATCTCATTCTCAGTTGCAGTTTTATTTCTAATGAGGAAGTATGTGTGCATTTTCCCTTTGCCTTTTACTTCTATTTCTCCTCTTTCAGTCATCTCAAAATTCTTGTATTTTAGGCATCTAAAGTATCAGAAGCAAAATGACACATGAAAATTCAAGATTACCAAAACTGACACCAGTGCTTTAGATAAGATATTGTAATCTAAGCAATTTAATCACAACAGTCTGGGAAAACCAGTATTGATCCATGAAAAACTGAGAGTTTGTTTCGACTGTTTATTCAAGCCTGCTGTGCTTTTATAGCTTTCCATGTACAGCCTGATCAAAAATCAATGGATCACATAGTCAAATACTCTAGTATGGTGGAGGGTTCTTACTGACCAGTAAATAGAAATTAAGAACTGAGGCAGCCAATATCAGTTTGACAAAACTATCTCCATTTATTTCATCAGAGAAGGCAATCATGATTCAATCAGTTCATCAGTCATGATTTACTGGCAAATCCAGAGTGGCTATTCCCAATTGCCTTCTTCATGTGTCAAAAATGGCTCCCAAGAAAACTTGATTTTCACCAGCTGACATGTCATGTGGCTGACATGAGGCTGACCAGCCTATAGTTCACCAATTTTTCTATATAGATGTAACATCTGGCTTTCTTGAGTTCCTACACTGCTGGTCTTCATGACCTTCCAAAGATGACAGCAGCACTGTAATGCCATCAGCCAGCGCTCTCATTACCTTTGGAGGCATCCCATCTAATCCAATACACTTCAATAGATTAAGATTTCTCAAAAGACCCCAGCTCTGATCCTCTTCCAGTACTGGTACTTTACCTACTCCTTGAACCCTGACTCTAGGTGCAAGAACCTTGAAGACTTTGTCAGTGAAGACAGAGGCAAGAGAGGCCTTGAGTAACTCAGCCTTTATTCAGGGCACTGTCACTAAATCACCTGCCACAGCAGGTCCATGTTTCCGTTTATACTTTTCTGATGTCACAGCAGAAGCTCCTTTTACTGCCTTCAAACCTTCCTTGGCTATTTCAATACTAGTTGAGCTCTAGCTTTCCTAATATCATTTTTATGTGCCCAAACAATGTTTTTGTACTCCTTTGAGCTTGTCCTCGCTTCCACTTCTGGCATACATAAAATCCTTGAAATACAGTATTTGATTTTAGTGACATGAGGTTTAGGAAAGTAAATTACTCCCTGCATGAATAGGACAGTGGTTTAAGCAGTTAATTCTTTCTCACCACAAATTGTTGTGCTCAGAGAGATGCAGGTTATTAAATGTTCTAAGTGCCTTTCTAACATCCACATCATTCTATCCGTACTTCTAAATAAGCTATCACAATTATTTTTTTCCCACAGTTTGTTCTCTAGGATCAAAACTCAAACCTCTGGCATTTGAAATAGAATGAATAAAACTCTTTGCAAGCCATGATTTTTGTCAGTAAGCTGCAGAAATCAGTGACTGAACACAGCGCCATCTACATGAAACACTGAAAGCTGCAGTTGCCGAGGCAGTTGGGTTTAGCCCAGATTTTAACCGGGAAAGTGTCCATCACAGTTACTCACTGATAGGCACTGGAGCTTAGATGAATTTTACTTGGGACACCATGACTCTCCATCCGGGAAGCTATATTCACTGTGTCTCCAAACAAGCAGTAACGAGGCATCTTCTCTCCAACAACTCCAGCCAAAACAGGACCTGTATGGATCCCAACTCTAATCTTTACAAAGACATAAAACACCCCCCAAAAATGTCACTTATTATTTAACATCTTTCTTAATGCTATCCAGCCACCTAAGAAAATCATCCTAACACAACAATGGACATCAGTAAAATATCAAATATCCACAGGGAGATGCTCTTCATGAAAAATGTACCCATGTGGGCCTTTCCCAAAGTCACAGAGGAGTCAGAAGAAGCTCTTTGATATCCTACTGCAATATATTAACCGTAAGACCAACCCAAGAAGCAGACAGACACACATGCACCTTTGTGTTAACAACTTACTTGGATAGGGTTTCCAGAAACTGGATTCTGCACATCTTTAGCTGCTATTATCATCCCCAAGGCAAAGTTAGCAACTCGCTCAGCATGAGTGGATACAGGCACAGGGACCCCACCTACTACCATATAGGCATCTCCAATTGTCTCCACCTTTAATTGAGAGGGACAAGTACGTCAGCATCCCATATGTCTTGCTCAGGTTAGTGCTTTGCTGTCTGGGGCTTTTCTTCTCTGCACCAACTCCCCCTTTCTTCTAAAAGATGTTTCCAATCACAAAAGAGGTCTAGCACATGTGACTTTCCTTGAGATGGGATCTTTCTTGACTTCACATTAAAAATTCCAATGCATTCTGTCCCTGCTTACCTGACACATTTTAGATATCAGCATCACAGATGCTAAGGAGAAAGAGATGCTGTGAAAGTATCAGACTTTTTGTCTTTCTCTTACCCAGGGCAGACCTATATGCAAAGAGCTATCTCCAGGCACAGACTCCTGAGCCAGGAGGTTATCTGCCAGCTGAATCCTCTTAATTAACTCTAATTCACCAGTGGTGTTAAAAGCATGTTTCTTCTTCAAAAGACATCTTTTTTCTTAAAGCCACAATACAGCAAGGGAGCCTACTCACTGCTGATTATTATTACTAAGGGGTTCACATGCAATTAAGAAACCTCCAATCTCCAGTATGTCAGAGAATGCAAAGTGTTAACTAAGCAGTTCAGGAGCATCCTTCCTTACAACCAGCTGTTTTCCCACAACAAGCTGCAGAATGTGAAACAAATGGTGAAGGGTTTGTCCTCCTTCAGGCATCCAGTTCCCTTGAAGTGCATGATAAGGCACCTGAGAAATAGTTTGGGCTTTGTCCCTGGGTATAGAATAGGCCTGTTTGCAACAGAGAATTCTCAAATGTCTAAAATTCACTGTAAAAACTGTTACACATTAAGGAAATTTTCTAATCTGCTCTTACAAGACTTCACTGTTACATTTACAACCAATAAGTAACAGATCAGTTTAAATCAGATTAATTTGATTTCCTAAAAATGAACACCAACAGAGGAGCAGGAACATAATTTCATCTTTGGGTTTGTTCATTAACATAATGACTTAAAACTGTTCAGGTTGTTAGTCTTGAAAAATGCATTCTTGTATGTGCCTTCTGTCAGATAGCCAACCCCATAGTAATGCAGTAATTTTCTGTAGCAAATTAAAAACAACTGTAAAAAGCTACTAATGCAAATAGATACCCTAATTATTTTTCAGTCATGGCAGGAGATTTAATTTGACAAGATTTTTATTCATACCTTCAGATGTTTATAAGCTTGGGCCAAGTGTCTTTGATCAATTTAAGTATTTTATTTCTTTCTCAGTTCCCTGAAATAGTAATCTCAACCTCACTCCTGTACCCTAGTCACCTCCTTCAATATTAATAAGAGTTATATACAGGCATCAAAAGGAGATTATTATAGTGACAGATAATTTACTCATGACGGATGATTTAGAATATAATGCTAATTTATCCCCAAATCTGTGGGCCATATCCTGAATGCTTCAATTATTAAACACAGTTTCCTCGCCAAGTCAGAAATGCTTCTGATTTCCTACTACAATGTATTGCAGGATGAACTGCATGCCTTGCCTGAGCAAGGAATGAATGAGACTTGGATTTCACCCTTTACTATTCCTTCCTTCCTAAATAATTAATGTGGTGGGGACAGACAGAAACTTAGAACTGGCTCTTCAGCTAGTCAAATCTGTGTAGTTCTGGAGATGTTAATAATGCTATTATTATATGTCAACCAGGGCTCTGACCCTTCCAGCACAGTTTGGAGACAAGACATACATTACAGTTTAGATCTATTCAATGCTCTCTGGGGTCAACAGGAGATCTATACCATTGCTGGAGATCTCCATGAAGCAAACAAAGTTGAAGTATTATATGGGTAGAGTTTATAATGTCATTTCCCACTGAAGGGGACATAGTGACCTATTTACAACAGATTGGAATAAAAGAACTAGGAAAATTATTCAAATTGGTCCATAAACTAGGATATGCCATTGTGTTGGTAGGCATTTGAAAGAGATGTATGAAAGAACAGCATCCTGGTGCAATGCTGTGGAAAGCGACTAACCCATGACTGACATGTCTGAAAATTTTAAACATATTTAATCACACCTCTGCCTGTTTTTCAATTTCTCTCTGTGGCCACTACAAATATGCAATATTTTATGGCTTACTTAAAATCATGCTGGAGCAAAGAGGATTTAAGTGCATGTAAACATAAAACAAACAAAATAACCCGACAACAGCAAAATCTTTTCCCAGGTGATTTCTACAGCCTTTGTCGATGAGTACATACCTTGTACACATCATGCACCGTGGTCAGTCTGTCAAATCGCAGGTACATTGAATTTAACATGAGAACTATCTGAATAGGCTCACATTGGGCACAAATGTTGGTAAAGGTCACAACATCACTGAACAATATAGTGCACTCCTTGAACTCTCCTGTGAGCAGAAAGACCAGTAGTAAGACCAGTACTTGTAATAGCTGGACAACCACACCATCTATTTGAGACCTATTTGCAAATATTACTTTCTCATCATTTTTCTGGACATATGACCCATCAATTGTAATACTCATATACGGCTGCTGATATGAAAGAGAGATGTCGATCAAATATAAGAATCATCGCACATTTCAATCCAGGCATCTGAATACATCCCTTTGTTCATCCATATTCAGGATATACTCAGCTCTTTATTCCTAACTTCATATGTATGCTTACTAAAGGAAATCAAAACATCCTCTTACTTGCTGTCCTTAATAAAAATGGGAATCATGATGGTGCTAGCTTTATAGATAGCAAAGATGAACTGTGAGAATTTTCCAGGAAAAAGCAATTTCTTTATTCCTTTCATTTTTGAGACCCCATTTCCTTTTATGACCATGTTAAAAACAAAATCTCAGTTTACTGTTGAAACACTGAATTTTGTTCCCTGAGCGGTCAGTTACTACCACCTTTCACCTCCTAGGAAACTATTTTGCAAACAGCTTCCAAAGCTTTGTTTAAGAGTAGTCTAATCTTTATTACCAGAGAGATTAAGGGTCTGTGATCCTCCTCCTACCCATGAATGTCACCAAGTTGAAAATGTACTCCATGATAGTGGCAAAGGACTGTGCCAGCACCCCCGTCCCTCTATCACCATCACCTGGTGCATGAATGCATCCTGTTCATTCACCTGCCTCAACTCTCTTCCCCTCTTTCAGCTGGTTGGCCACATGCTGAGGAAGCATGGCATAGAGCAGAGCTTCAGTCTTTTTCTTCTCTTCCTCCAGGTGCTTTGACAGTATCCGCAATTCTTCCTTCTTCCTCTCCAGCTGGTTAGAGAGCTCCATCTCTGCCAGTCGCTGCTGATTGAGAAGAATCAAATCCCTGGTCACGTCGTGAGGTGCAATGTCTGCAATATGCATCTGTCGCTCTTCCAGTTCATGCAAAGTGCGAAGCAAAGGCGAGCAGAGATAGAGCATGCACTGCAGAGACTCCATCCAGATCATCTGGCCTGTTTGAAACAAGTACTGGTAAGAGTTTTCAGCAGCTTAGACTTTCACATGATACTCAGCATTGCTGATCTCAATTTTAGGGGGCGAGTTCTAAGGACAGTGTCTTTTGGTAGGGTCCGGATCAATATAGTAATTACTCTGTTTCAGGGAATTAGAGCTGGACTTGTTTAGAGGAGGTACACGAGGCAAATAAAAAGATAATCAGGACCCAGAGAGCAGTCACTCACTCACTGCAACTGCTAGGCAGAGCCCAACCATGCTTCAGGTCCCTCCTTTTCATGAGGAACCCCAGTGCTCACAGCATCTCTCCTCTGCTACTAGCTCTTGAGCTGTTCCTGAATCCAGTCAGTCAGCATCATGCACAGGGGAACTGAGATTAAGTGAAACATTCAAAGTTTAATTTCATAGTGGATAATATGTAGGCCAAATAAAATCAGCAGAGCTTTCCTTCCTGGGAGCTGGAGCTTTCAGTCACTATGATCACCTAAATAAGCATGTACAAAAATGCCTGAAAAGTAGAATTGATTTTTGGTGGGGGGGTGAGTTGTTGTTTTCTCAATTGAGATTTGGTTATGTGTTTGTTACTATTTTTTATTTGCTTCATAAGTATCCTCAGTTTCTGAACAGCAATCTAGGAATTCCTATTTATTTCTTCTTCTCTCACCCCATCCCCAGGGCTACTGGATGAGCAGCAGATTGGATCAGTAGATATACCATGTGAATTAACCCTGATAGCATAAGAGGAAGTCAAATTGTACCTGTGACTAAAGTTCCTTGTTTTGGTAGCACTATTTTTTTTCAAGGTCTCCCTTATCTCTATTTCTTACTGAATCTCAGGAATACCAGATTTGGCACTCATTATGTAAAGGTGAAAGGAGAGAAGGGAAAATTAGGCCATGTTACATAGTTCACAGGAGCAAAATTGAGGTCACAGAACACTTAAACCAAATGCCATTACAGTTACTTGCACACAGGAGAAAATCATTCCAAACTCATTCCTCTCAGAAAAATCAAGCAAATAAAATAATTCCAATTTGTAAATTCTTATGTAACATTGGGGGGTGGAGGGGGCAGGGGGTGAAGACAGAAATCAGGATCTGAAAATGTGACTACAAAAACTAAAAGCACAGCTAACTAATCTATTTTTATCCGCACTTGAAACCCAGCCAATAGCACATAACACCCCTCAAAGGCATAAATTAAGAATGAATCATGTATTCACATTTTAGGAATCAAAATGCATGAAGGCACAGGGGAAGCCGTTTCTTTCCTCCAACAGTAGCAATGTTATCAGGACTTTGTCTCTAAGCATTTCCCTTGCCTCTGCCCCTCCTTGCCCAGCAAACAGGAATGGAGCATCACTGGTAGGAGTGATGCTTTAATTGTATTATCATGGGAATGCTCACTGCATGTTTCACTACTGTCTGTATGTGGCAGAGATGGAACCCAATATCTGTGAACTGGCACTGCCTGTGCTGGGTGGCTGGGTTTAAGATGCTGTTCCATGTGCAAAGTAGTAATTCCTTCGGCAAAGAAATTAGCAGGGCAAAACAATTCTGTATCAGGTGCATAGGCTGGACCATATGTCATGTAAAGAGAACCTAAGAGAGCTGGGGTTGTTCAACCTACAGAAGACAAGCCTCAGGAGGGAAATCAATATTTATAAATAACCTCATAGGAGGGAGTAAAAAAGATTATTTGTTTTATCCAATGAAAGGACAAAAGACACAAGACACTAACTGAAATGCAGGAATTCCATTTAAACATAGAAAAAACCTTTTAACTGTAAGGGTGGTTAAACACTGGAATGGGTCACCCAGGGAGGTTGTGGAGTCTCCATCTTTGAACATACTCAAAACCCAACTAGACACAGTCCTAAGTAACCTGCTGTAGTTGATTCTGCTTTGAGTTGGGATGGACTAGACAATCTCCAGAGGTCCCTTCCAAACTCAACTGGAGTTGAGTCAATTCTGTGACTCTGAATAACTGAGATTAGAGGTGGTTCAGAAAACAATCTAATCCTCCTTTGACCTTGCCTCTGTTACTCAGGAAACCTGCAAAGATGATTTTTCAGCATTGGGAAAACAGTGTCTTTCTAAGCCTTTCAAATGGAAACACAGGTGTTACTTCGACTGAAAGCCTTCAAAATCTGGTGAGGTAATAGCTGAATTTGTCTACAAGTATCTTATAGTACTGTCTTTAATCAGAGCCATGCGATCTTCTCCTCACTGCACAAAGGCAAAGCCATTTATAGGATTTATGTGAAACGAGGAGCCTACAGAAATGCATTAGTTCAACTCCAGCATAATTCCTGATTTAATATGAACACTTAGCTACTGAAAACAGTGATGTACCTCTCAGCTCTAGCATTGGCCGTTGTTTCCATGACTCTGGCATCATCTCTCTTCTAGTCTGGAAAACAAATTGACTGTTGATGAATTTCTGGATGCTAGAGATGGTGAAGGGTACTTCTGGGTGAACAATACTGAAATAGTGATCCAAGCAGATGCCCATGTTCTGAAGGCCAGGTACAATCTTTTGAATGCTCACACCAGCTTGCTTCACTCTGAGCTTAAAAAGAGAATATGGACAATGTATTATAATTCACATCCTGTTTAGGTTCAGGCCAAGCTATAGCAGATCATTGTTTATACACTTACATGCACTTTGGTTTGCTATACTACATAGCTTATTTCTGAGCAAAGTTTCTATTTTATTAGTGGTTTACAACAAAGCTCTGAATGAGTGTCCTTCACAGCAAGACAAAGTCCCCAGAAAGGAATGTTATTATCCAAATGCTCTTCCCTTTCGATAGTTAAAAAGAAAAGAAGTTATCTATTTACATTTGTGCAGGCCTAACAAATAGCTTTACAGATAGCTGCAAGTGAAAATTAGCAATATCACAGTGTCCCTTGTGTTCCAGAAAGAAAATAACTGTGGCATAAAATGTTTTGGCAAATATTAATTTTCTAATGGATGCCATGGGTTGCCTTCTCTTAACTATTGCTGTGTAGAGGTTTAGTTATTCTCTTTTAGCCTGCTGACCATACATCAGTGTTTAACTCTTGCAGAAATATCCACACTGCCTTCACTGCTTGTCATCAGAGTTACTGAAGCTCTGACGTAGCTACCAGTATGCAGGACTTGCCCTCTCTCCACACTAGTAATTTTATCAAATTATGCAGACTGGGTGTATTGAAAGGTTTAAAACTCTGGCTAATGTGGACAGTGGCAAAAAGCGGACTATGCATTCTGGACTATGTGTTCTGGAATCTCTATTGGTATGATGCCAAAACATGTGCCCTGAGTGCCTGTATTCAGCCTTTTTTTTCTGCTGTCCTATTGTCCTATTCTCAGCTTCTCCTTTCTTTGCTCCCTTTATCTTAAGATAAAATTCTATGTACAGAATTGTGAGCAAGAGGAACTGTAGCTTGGTGGGAACTCGGGCTGGCTAGAAACCAGACTCAGGGCAGTCCCTGCCAAGACAAGGGCAATCCCATTGCTGTATAGTATGTGTGCACAGAAGAGGACACTCAATCCTTCCCTGGAAGATACAGAGATTTTTGGGTCTAGTTCCTACTAGATGAGGTTGCATGCTGCCAGATTTAGTAGATAGCTGGCTTTTTGCAGCAGGAACATGTAGAGCCTCAGCTGACGGCAAAGCCTTACAAAAGCCTTTGGATAGATTAATAACTGGGAAGAGAGGGTGACTAGCTACAAGTACAAAAGTACAAAGCCAGTTTAAAGGATGGGTCATGTCTCTGGCACATCCAAGTACAGGAAGGTGGCCAGGAACCTCAGAAAATTCTGTTCAGTGTTTGGTAACGAATAGGCTGCTGCAATAAACCTTGTTGGCATATTTGCAGCTCTTTCAGATGTGGTAATCTCAATAAATTCAAAGGAGATCCCTCTCTGAAATGATCCAGATCCAATTGTTATGAGTGACTTCCTATTACTTGTCACTGTATGGAGCACTTCTGCAAATCCTGCAAATGAGTGTGCGCTGTATACAGAGCACACACAGCAGTGAACCGTAGGACAGCCAAAACAGAAAAAAGTTACTATATGTTTTATGCAAACTAAAGGCCCTTACCACATGCTTGTCCTACCTGTTTGTCAAAAACCATATGAAAAGGAAGTCCATTGCAAAATGTTTTTGTGTCAATCCAAAGACTCTTAGGATAAACAGGATCAAATCCTCTCAGGAGCTTACCTGTGGCAAGATAAATGTGTAGCTTTTAATTGGGTCGCACCTCATGAAACCAGTCAGCATTACCTTTTAGCACTGAGACTGGACCCTATATCATAATGAGCAAAGACAAAGTAAACTGTGTGTGGGTCCACAAAAGTGCATACATCTGTGCTAAATGCTCTGCAGTTTAATCCACAGCTGATTAGGAACCGACCTGAGTAGGCTGAGAGGTCAAAATCTAACCACACAAAAAGCACAGAGCATTAGATACATGAAGTTACGTGGAAACAAACAGTAAGACTAGACAAACAACTGTAGACATTACTGCTCTATGAATTTGCAGATATCATAGCAATATAATACAGCTGTATCACACAAATAATGTACACAGAAGTACATTTAATATATTTTGCTGGCTACTAAGGACCACTTACGGATAAAAAATCCAGCATGGTCTGGGTTTCAGTCTCCTATAATAAGAACTGTAATTCATAGCACAAAGATCAAATCACTGTTTGGTTTCTATTTTATTTACCTGGAGGTTTTTTACAAAATGGTCACAGATCTACAGAGGAGCTATCTACAGATCTAGCAAACAGATATTTCTCTAAAATGAATGAGTAAAACGAAAGGACTTATCTAACTGAAGCGCCTAAAGCCTTTGATCTTTGCAGTATAAACTGGATTATCCAGTAACCCACAATGATCAAAAGGATGATTAGTTCAAGTGATCTCTGTCCCCCAGAAGGTGGCTACAACAGTTACTACAGTAAATTCTTTGATAACAAATGTTCAAGTCATTTAGGAGCCTAGTGAAGAAGATTACAAATGCAGGCCCCAAGTTTATACCTTTTACTGCTTCAGGGTAAGTCAGCATGGGTTTTTCATTTTTCAAAGTCTGGATCTTGATAACCCTTACACTTATTGTTAAAGGATTTTATTCTGTTTTTAAGTAATAATGCTACTCTAAAGTTTTATTTTGAGTATATGTTAATTCATTACTCAATATATCTTCCCTTGTAATGCATGTGACATTGCACCAGATGGTAGCAGGTTCAGTTTTTCACTCCACACAGAATCCAGATATTTTGGCAATACTGAGCTAGATCCTCATTCCTCTTGGGGAGTTAAAAGATCCTAACAGAAAAAAATCCTTCTGTTTTGCAAAGATATATAAACATATCATATATGAAGGTATAAACAGAGATTACTAGATTGGCAGTAGATTTTTGGTAGCAGTAGGTGTAATTTGGCTTTCAGAATTAACTACAATTGGTAACTTTGGAAAGGATAGCAGCTACTAAGTTAAACACTCTTAAATTCATCATCAGGCTAGATGATGTCTGGTGACATGAGAAGAAAATATCAAAAGTACCACACAATGTCATTTTATAGAAGAATACATTTCAGATGAAAATCCTGTTTAAGAGACAGAAGTGACAGGTCATATTCCATGTAAGTGTCTGTCATTACTAAGCATGCTTATTATCTGCAATTTTCCTTTGATAACCAGTGTCTAACCAAAAGAAACATAACCAGAAACATTTTGAAAAGAGGCAGAGGAAATATGAATGGTAACTTTAAAATGGTTCGTGGAGAGGGGGAGGCTTACTGACTGTCTTACTGAAGACTCAGAAATGGTGACAAGATCCCTTTGAATGATCTCTCACCTCTTCCTACTGTAATTATTCCTCTTATTGTTTTCCAGTGACTTTTCTTGACAGGACAAACAGAGCTTCCTCTGTCTCTAACTGCATTCTTGCCTTTTTCAAGGTCCTGTTGAAATAAATCCAGAGGGAAATTCAAGGGTGTTTTTATTTTAATCATATCTTAATAATACAATGATAATGACTATTACAATACCTCTTTATTCTGTTGGTTCTCAATTTGTTTTGCAGAGTCAGGAACATGTTGATGTGAGGAAGAAAATTCACTTCTTTCCTTGTATGAAAATACAGGGGTTTGAGTAACAAGAAAAACAATATGTTCTTTTTTCCCAGTTCTTTCTTCTTCTTCTGTTTGATTGACTATTTCCATTGAAAGCTCAATATTAAAAAAATCCAGGGCTGCTGCACCAATAATTCCTGAAGGAGAAACAAAAGACAAAGTATTGCCAAGAACAAACCCTTTCCATTTCCCCTTTTAAGAGGGCCCACAGTGGAATTTCACTGTTCCTAAAATCATTTTTCCAAAAGACGCTGGAAGTAGAAAGCAACCTATGTCATTCCTACTATTATTGTTGTGATAAGAATATGTGCATAAGAGATAAGTTTTAAAGTTACTGTTTCTTTTTCCTTGTCTGATGCCAAATACTTATTTTCACTAGAAGCAGCTCAGCAGGATATTAGAAGAATGTGTCCAAGTAGTCATACATACCAACAATATTAATTCCTATTAACTCAAAAAGTGCAGGGATTCTAAAGAGCTTAACAATCCATTGCTGTTGTTGCAGACCATTTTCTTTTGAAAGGAAGGAATTATCTTTCATGAAGATGTAACATCAGTCCTCTCATTTCTGCTTAGCTATTAGGTGAAATATTGGACAATTACATGAAAAGCTCTGTCTGATATTCCAAATAGTTCTGTGCTTCAATAGGAATATGAAATGAGTTTTGACAAAGAGGTAAGTTTTGGTAAGCTTCTAAATTCAGCGGTATCTATGAAAGAAATGAATATGATCATCTCTAACAGACTTACAGTTATTTAGCCCTTGCAGAAGTACAACTGTGGAGATTCCTAAAAATGCTGGTAAAGGATTCAGTTTTGAGCAGGGGTCAATACTAGTTTTACAGACTGCATATACTGGAGGACTATTTGTTACCGGATGAATGGGTGGATGTCTTCAACTATCATTTCTATTTCACTGTAATTTAAGGAGCAGGAGTCTCTGAGAAAGGATCAACAGTTGGACAAAATACACACCATGCACTTTATTTTTTCTTCCAGGAAGGCAATTCTATAGGCGTTCTATAGCAGGAATGGACCCTTATGGCCTGCATTTTTGTATCATAAGTCTTGATAGAAGCTACTGGGAGCTAGGAGTGATCAGGCAGTAGGAAAATAGCACGGGCAGGTATCTGGTGACTAAATTCTATCAGGCTCCAATTCTGTGGCCAGTCCTTAGCTGAAAAATGATTCTGAAATCTGATCAAAGTGTGACTGCAACTATATGATTATGCAGCATATATAATGCATTACCAGCTGATCTGCACTCTGCATTCTATCTGATTACCTGGCACAATATGGCACAGACCTCTTCTGTCTGAATAGTAATGTAAATGCATTGACCCATCTTCATTCTTTTCTACCCTAAAAGATGGTGCATTCATCTCCTGAGGAAAAACAAACAAAAAACTCTTCAGTATCTTTTTTTGAGGAAGAAAACTGGTGAATTCCACTTGTACAAAAGCATCCCATGTCTTAGTAAAATAAGCAGTCATGTGAATAAGCTGAATACCAGAAAATTAACTATGCTTACCTGTGAAGGAAAATCTACCGTGCATTAGAGCCAATGGTCTAAATAATATCTAATGCTGAGGACTACTCAGAAAAAAAAAAAATATTAAAACAGCCCTAACACTTTGGAGTTATTCATTTCAGAACGTAGGAGAGCCTGTTATAGCCTTTTTTCTATTATTTATGTATATATATTTTTATATATTCACACCTATGAGATGCTGTTCCTCGGGCTGCAACCTCTGGCAGAGTCTACCCATACCTGCTCAGTAATTACTAGTTGAACTTGCCTGGTAAGAAAGGGACAGGTAGCTGTGCAATGCATCCAGGTTCTCTATGAACTCATAGAGATTTCCACCCAGTGTCCTCAGCATGTGGTCATAGCCTGAGCGTTTACAGAATTCAAAGAAATACTCTCCAAACTCTCTCAGAACCATGTCAGCAGGAACACCTGGCAAAATAAAGGTACCTTGAAGAATAAGAAAGGAATGGAAGCTCTTGAAATGTTGTCAGGTGGATTAAGAGTGAATGCAGAAAAGCTGCCACATAGGGAAAGTATTCCAAAGAGCACAGGAGACTAAAAACTAGGCTGCAGTCTCAGGCTTAACCCAGGATGGTTCATTTTTTTGAGGCACAGTGACACTTACCTAATATTTTGCAGGCTTTGTCAACGAGCTGCATTGTGATCTCATCTTTGTAAACCTCAAAAGTCAAGAAAGAATCTTGGACTCCAGCCTGCAGTCTGCAACAGAGAAGACAATATTCTGGTCCTAGCTGTGCTGTAAATATAACATGCTTGGGTGACTCAACTGGCACTCATTTAAGCACTGTTTGCTGTTAAACCACTTCTCAACCTCCTCCTTCAAGCATTATATTGGAACACACTACTTCCCCTAATGGTTTAAAGGTGTTGCTGTAGCATGGCTGAATGGTGGCATCTACCTCCATTTCTGCTGTTTCATGTTGTGATATTATGGTAAACTGTCTCTAGCATCATACTGTGGGGTGCTCAAGCAAGAGGAGTCTTAGTTTGTCTTCTGCTCTACTGGGTCATTGTTCCATATGCCAAAAATATCAAGCCCTTGGGTCTCCACAGGCTTGACAAAAAACTTATTTTTTTTATATTGGCTTCAATGGCTATTGTGTGTTTGTATATAAGTATCATTTATATATCTTTATATCTTAGAAAATACCACAGAGCTCATAAAGTAAGGGCAAAACCAGAGATGATACATTCAGTTGCTCTTCTGAAAGTGCTGGAATTAAACTGACTTCCTATCAAGGATGACATCTTTTCAGTGTAATTACTTCTCGATATTGTCCCAGTAAGCCAGTAAATCTGTTTCACAACTGTCTGCAAGACTAAATGTCATCCTTAGTTATCTGATATGACAAATTAATTGGGACAAATCAGTAGAGTGTGAAGGTAAGAAACTCTTCCTTTTGCTCTGCTAGTTACTTCTTATAATTACTTGAGGTACACATCAGCTGCTGTTTATCCGTGAGAAATCATAATCCTCTGCTCCTAAATTCCTCAGCATTTTCTTTCAATGCACTACATTTATTGGGAACACATTACCTTAGTTTTTCCCATGTTTCTTCACCATACTTTTCAATCACCAAAGACTTCAGGCATGTATTTATAAATCCATACTGTAAAAGCAAACACATGAACATGGAAAAGCCATACTTATTTTCAAAATACAGCCCAAACATGCCATCTTTTTACATTTAAGATTTTATGTGGCAAAAGAGGAAGCAATAACATTTGACAGCAGTTATGCCTTCCAGTGAACATCACAGCCTTTACCTCAGCATTTCACAAGCATTCAGAAAAACAGCGCCAACGCACTCAATTTTGCTGTGCAGAGAAGGGCCCAGAGGCACCAGGTCCGGGATCACCCAGCCTGGAGCACGCTCCCGGCGGTGGCTGAACCGCAGACACGCACCGCTGCCGCAGCGCAGGTAAGTTTGGCTTTGCCGTGACTGTTATTTTTCGCGTTAGTACTGACAAACGGCACGCTCGAGATGGGGGTGGGGGGACGTAGGGAGAATAACCCTAAGTAGCACTTTCACAGCAGCAACAGCCTAAGGATGGTGTGGTTCACATCCCCCAAAGCAACGCGGGTTAGCCTCCTGCCCCCCGCTGGTCCCTCAGGTAGGAGCTGTCTGTCCCCAAGAGCCGTCTGTCCCGATTCCTCCCGCCCATCTCCTCCCGCTGCCCTCCCCCGAGGCAGCCCGGCATGGCCCGGGGCTGGCGGCGGGGCCGAGCTGCCCGCCCCCTCCAGCGGGTCTCCGCAGCCCGGCCCGCGGAGTCCCCGCAGCCCGCCCGCCGCTCACCATCCTGCCGCCGCCGCCGCCCACGGGCTCCGGCCGCCTCCCCAAGCGCCGCCGGTGGCGTCCGCCCAGCTGCTCGCCCGGGGGGCGGCCGCACGGCCAGGCCCGGCCCCGCCGCTCTCGCCCGCGGTGGCAGCCGGTGGCCGCAGGCAGGGACGCTCTGCCGAGGCTCCCTCCGCCTGCCCGCCTGTCTCTCAGCAGAAAACGTGGGTTTCCCGTAGTTGCCGGTGTTGCAGGAATTCCGGGGGATGCCGAAGAGCATCTCGGTGAAATGGCATCACTGTCACGACCGCAGTTTCCCGATCCCGCTGGTTCCCCGTTGCTGGAGCCTTTGGCACAGCCAGGCGGGACATGGTGCGGGTAGACCCGACGGGGGGCTGCCCAGCGCAGAGGTACACCGGTCCCCACCTCTTGAAGCCCCGGCTGGGCCAGCAGCTGAGAGGGTGACCAGAGGAGGTGACTCTTGACAAGGCTTTCTTAAAACCAGTCGTAGCAAAGCAGGAGCAGCAGTGGTGGAGTCAACAACCACACATGCCCCAGGATAGGTTTGTAGGGAGAATCAGTGTCTTCCAGTTGGCTGGTGGGTGATGCTGAGACATGTATTGCAGCCGCAGGCCTGACAAGAAGCAGGAGATGAAGCCACTTGCCTATAGCTCACATCATCTAGGCTGTGTTTGCAGCCACTCAATCCATCTGAGAGGGAAGGACAGCAGCAGGGACATTAACAGGAATACAATGATTGGTTTTAGGTGCAATGAGTCAATGGAGTTTAGTGCCTGGCTCTTATCCCTAGTTATCTCATCTCTAGGTTGGGAGGGCTTTTTTGGGGAAAAATTATTCATAGGTCACTTCGGAAAATGAATCCTGAGAGGAAATAATGGAGAATTGTCTGGGGGAAAACACTCTCCCCTGATAAAGATGAGTTCCTGTCCCCTGTCAGCCAAATTCGTACAGGCACCCCTGTGGGTGATGAAAGCCCTGTTTCACCCACCTTGTTGCTGCTGTTTGATGCTGGGTTGTGGGACCATGTACTGAGCCAGTGTGACAGTCTGGCAGGGAGGGTTTTGCTCATGCTCTGGTGATTCTGAGATGTACTTGTCGTTCTGTCTCCAGTCGCTCAGCCCTCTTTACAGGTGCTGTACGTGTTCAGCATGCACATCGAAATCCGTGTGGCAGCCCCCAGTGGGCATGGGCGCTGCTTTCTTAATGATCAGAGCCCTCCCACTAGCCCTGCTGTCCCTGTCCTCCCGCAGCCTCCTCTCTGCTCCCCTCAGCCCTTCTATCCTGCAAACACTGGTGACTCTACCACAGCCTGAGTTTCTTCTTAAGAGCTGTGAGGTCGGATCCAGGCTCAGGAAAAGAGAGCTAACGGAATTCCATGTCCCTGCTGTATTCCCACAGCTGGGTTTAGAGGGCTTGCTAAGCATAGAAACGTAACTGTAAACCCCGCTGTATTTCCTGGACAACACCAAGTATGTGTGGAAGCACAGGCCTGAGAGGCCAGCGCGGCAGCAGGTGACTTCTCTCTTGGTTTGCTGTCTGTGCTGCACCCGTGTAAGGAGCACCCTTGCCCGCTGCCAGGCAAGAGGCAGTTCCGGTCCCCCAGACCCCAGACCCCATCCCCACTGCATCCCGGCGGGTGACCCCTAGGGGGTGCTTCTCTCCGCCGGAGCCGGCGCCCCGCTCCCCACCCGCTGTTAGCGGCGGAACTGCGTTCGGTACGGCTCACCCCGCAGGAAGGATGAAGACACCCTCATTTCTGTCACCTTAAACACAGGGCGTCGACGGCGCAGCCGGGCCGGCTGCTCCATGGCAGCCTGCAAAGTAACTGAAACCAAACCTGGTTAGGAGCTCACGGCTGTCAGCGCTATCGATACTAATGTAAGTCACTACGAGGTTACTGATTTTTTTGTGCGCAAATTTTACCCACATGAATCTGCTGCTGCTATGAGTGCAAATAATTTGAGACTAGAAATGCCAAATCAGAATGATAACTCTGAAGGAAATGAAAAATTTATAAATTAATTTCTATTATACATAAATAAAACTAATTTTCAGGTTTATAAAACTTGAATGATTGGATAGATTTTCAAGTAAAGTAATTATTTTTGCTTATTCTCTTCTAGTACTTTACTATCTTTACTTTTTCTTATCGTACGCATGACACCTAAATATGCAATCCAATGATTTTTATCAATAAAGATTAGCTACTACCTAAAAGGTTTGGGGACGCAATTCGGATAAGCTATCCAAAATTCACATTAATACCTGTATGCTAAATCTGTATTGCACAAAGTAGTTCATACTGGAATGAAATTTATCATTATTGCTTTAGACCTTCTTTGGTTAGAGAATTAATCCTACTATTTTTTCAGATCTGTTTGTTGTTATGAGAGAAAATTGGATGAAGACTCTGCAAGTCAGGATTGTTTGTGTGCAAGTCACTGGGCTGCTCGCCCTTTGCAGTTCATGGCCCATGATGTGCCCTCAGCCACCTCTGTCATCTCCAGCTGAATAACAGAAGCCTTCCAAGTAAGATAACAGAAAATGAGAGAAAAATTAACACTACTTGTGGCATGACTTTGTAAAAATTTTCTTTATTCCTTTGGCAAAATGTAATTGGTACTTCCTAGAATTTTGAGACCAGCAGTTGTTTATGTGTATAATCACCAGTCTTTAATCAAAGACAAAACACCCTACTTGTTTCTGTATCTCTGCCCACTCTGTATGAAATGAAGACAACAATACTCCCCTTTTCAGTCTGTTACTGTGCTCCAGTGACAGTGATGATGGTCTCTCTTGGTGCAGTCTATTCAGGTCTCCCAGTCTTTACTGGGCCCCGCCACAGTGGCCTGACATTGACACAAACTACCACCTGCAGCAGAGCAGTTGTATTTGGGGGAGTAAAGGAGAGGCTGGAGCAGGATGTCTTTAGTTTCAGAGGGCTTCTTGCTTTCCAGAACACATAGGGTGGGTGGGGATAAGCTCAGACAGAAATGCACACTGGTATTCTGGTCTCTATTCTGTGAGGCTGAGCCTTGTTGCTTAATGGCACAGGATACCTTCAGCTGAAGTATGTCTGAAAAGTTGCGGGCTTCATGTGTGCACAGCCTATCCTCCCATAGCCAGCTCAGTGTTTAGTGCTGAGGATGGGGTCAGCTACTCAGCAAGTGTATCAGTCCCTTATAGATTGCTAAAAGTGACGTGTCTAGGAGGCAAACGGCAGCCTAGAGCACTGTACTGCTAACCCCATAAAGTCCTGCAACCCTTCCCAGCAGTATGTGAGAAAACTTGTCTTATATTTCTTTTGCCTTTGTGGCAGAAGATCCATTAATTTGGAAAGGGGGTGCTGTGGCCTTGCAAAAAAGATACTCACCCATACCTGAAAAAAATAACTATACTGGAAGTCAATTTCCCTTGGCCTTTTGTTGTGCTTGTACCCAGCTTGTACTAAACAGCATCCTTGAGCTCTAAGTAGTTCAGCAAAATAAATGGGCTAGATGCAAAATATATGCTGTTTTTTCAATAAGATGAGAAGCAAAAATATGCAATATAGCAATTTATAACTTCTGGTTACAGCCTTGGAAAATGCAGCCATAGACTTTCATCGTCTGCGTATGCAAGGATGTCCTACTTTTTACTTATTTTTCTTCCTGTTGTGTGATTATTAGCAACAGTGCAAAGCCATATGTTAGTCGCCATGGTGGAGGGGCTGCTCCCACAACCGTCTGAGCAGAGCACATTCTAAACATTGCCGTCTGGAGCCCCAAATACCACAGCAGTAACAGAATCCTTTCTCCAAGTGGTTGCCAGCACTCTCTCCTACTGAAGACCCCTAGGACACAATCCTTTTCTGCATACTTCCTTCAAATGCAGCCTCACATCAGTTGTTCAGATATCATGCGTTCACATTTGTCTTGAATTAGCCTGAACAGTGACTTTGTAGTGACTCAAAGAGAAAAAGAATCTGTCCTTCTACCAACAGGAACCAAAAAGGAAGTTTTATATATGTATGTATTGGTAGGCTTCCAGTACTTCACACTATCAAACCACAAGGACAGCTGATGTAAAGTCTAGATTAGGAATAAAAATAAACACTGAAGATGTGCTGCCCTGCATAGTTCAGATGGCTCCAATTTTTGAACTAGATATATAAAAACCCCAACAGTTATATTTGAATTCCTATTAAAGACCCTGAGCAAAATTTAAATGTCATTAATGTAGATGAACTCAACAGCAGTGAAATTGTACTAGTGCAGGTTTTATCCTCAAGAAAGCTTTCAGAACCCCAATTCTTCTGGTTAACTGTTAAGATGAGCTGGTGATGGGAGGCTGGGTCAATAGTATTTAAATTGGCTTTGCAAAACTGTTGGGAAAAGTTACCGGCTCAGGTCCAAAATCTATTCACATGTGCCCTTTACACACTGATGGGAGGGAATTGAAGAAAAGAATGATTTGCTCTAAGAGCTGGTTCGCCTTTGGCATCGTTCCTTCTCCCCTGGCTTTCCACGTGTGCTGCCATGGAATTTCTTTCTCCCTGTGCATGACCTGTCCTGGCACTCATCTTCTCTGAGCTGGGGAAGTCACGGCTGCTTCCGTGAATGTATGTGTCATGAAGAAGGCGAAACAGGCCCTGTGGGTATGTTTGCTGTGTGAAACTTTCTGGTTAAGTCTTTGTGCATGTTCCTCTGGGTATTTTCTTTAGCTTGCCTCTTGTATCACTGCTTACGTTCAAAAGCTATCATCTAATATCTTTGTTTGCTACACAGAAAATAGCTCATTACTTGTATTTTTGACTCTGATTGCTATTTAATGAAATTTGTTCCAGCTTTAACATCACTGCAACAAGCCACAAAGAATCATTTGTCTCAACTGCCTGAGTCAGGCTTGCTCCTGCTGCAGCTCCCAGACGGCACAGTTATCCAGGAGACAGGAAGAATGAAGTCAAGAATGATGCAAAAATGGGTAAAAGCCAAGTCTCATCAATCTTTGGTGCATGCTATTACCTCTGCATTGTTCTCTGAGCCATATAGCTCAAACGTATTAGCATACAGACCGTGAAAGTGGGGCCTCACGATCCTTCTGGCTTTTTGGGTTTTAAGCAGGAGGTGTCAGAAAAGTTACCACAAGGATAACTGGCTTGTGGTGGCCAAGCATTCATAGCAACATCGCTTTTTGATCTTTTGGTGTTGAGTCTTCCTATCATTGTGAAGCAGAATTCACCAAGTGTTGGATTGTTCACCAACTAATAGGGAACGTGAGCTGGGATTAGACCGTCGTGAGACAGGTTAGTTTTACCCTAATGATGATGTGTTGTTGCAATAGTAATCCTGCTCAGTACGAGAGGAGCCACAGATTCAGACCCCTGGTGCGTGTGCTTGGCTGAGGAGACACTGGCGCGAGGCTACCAGCTGCGGGCTTATGACTGAACGCATCCAAGAACCCTCCTAGGCACTTGTTGTGCTATTGCGTCATTGGTCACTTGTGATTGACCCAGGAGATGACAGTCTTGTTCAGAATGCATGGGTAAAGGTCTTCCCGAATCTTCATTAGTGAAGATTTCCATCCTCATAGGAGAAGGAAAACTCCTTTCTTCAGACCCGGGCTGATGGAGCTCATCTAGCCTCGTATGGTCTTCCATCGAAGAGAAGGGCACTCTTACAAAACCTACAACCTGTGGACTTTGCTGTCACCGTCCTAGCTCGCTAGGCCGTGGCAGTTAAACCTGAGGTGTAAAGGGTGGGGCCAGGTCTGCGCAAGCTGTGCTTCACCTAAAAAATCCACTGCGCAGGCTGGAAGGGCTCACTCTTACTTGTCTGTATGGACGGGCGAGGGTCTAAACAGTAGGTGAGAAGGTGCATGGGAAGCTGCAGATCCAACGCTGCATGTGGGTGGACCAGCGCATGGGTAGCTCGAGTTAGCTTAGGAGTTGACAGTCCTGGTCAGACACTTCCTGATTGCCTAAGCACCCTTTTTGCCAACCAGATTTGGATATCCCACTTGCCCTTGGTCATCGTGCTTGTAGTAAGCGCGGTTAAAGCCCTTCCCAAATCTTTGCTCATGAAGCCAAGCCATCAATCAATCACTCAATCAATTAGCATATAGAGCTGTTTGGTCACTTTCTGGTGTCTTGTTCCTTTGGAAAAGTAACTACAGACCTCAAGGTGCTTATAATAGTGCAATACCAGACCGTGCAGGCTGTGCTGTTAAACAAGGTTGTACCTGAGGAGTCTGTGGTATATTTCTCTTCCATCCCATCAGTGTCCCTTCCCTGTGCTTTGAAAAGGGGGCTTTTCAGGTACTATTTGTGTCACCTATCATCCAATAGGTGAAATCAAAAAGTTCAGCTCAAGAGCCTAGAGCAATTTAGCAGCACATCCCTAATAATGTCAAACCAGTAACAGGCAAATGCTGGCAGTAGCTTTATTTGGCTTTAACATTGTGAGAAATTGCTGCATTACTTTTGGAAATGATAATCCAGCTATCCTCCATTGTGGCATAGTAGATATCTGGGGTTTTGTTCTTAAGAGGTAGCCTCAGGTTTTCTGTAACTGTTAAATTGCATATCTTATTGAATATGCTGATGCCTTTACTTTCCTCTTGGCTGAATTCTGTCCCACCCTCCATTGCATCCATCTCTTTCTTTTAGTAAGCTTTCACCTTGGCTACCTTTTCCCACCAAACCACTTACCATGGATGCTCTCTTGGCACTTTAAATGTAACATTCCTCTTCCTTGCTGCTTTTACTCCTCTGAGCAACATTTTGCGAAAGTATTAATTATACAGTGTGCTTAGATACATCATAGCATTATTAACAAATACATGTTTACTCTAGCTTTCCTCGTTTGAAAGCTCCTATCTGTGAGCTATATCCCATGTGTTATCTTTGACTGAAAAATACCTGGATACATTCTGTGCAAAAGCAAAGTGTAACATCCTTTTTGTCAATGGGGGCAAACTGTTCTACAGCTTAAGGAGGGGAAAAAGTCCAGCACGGTCTCAGTTTTCAAAGGACTGCAGTTCCCATGATCCCCACAAAGAATTGGACGTGAGCTTTCACAGTGATGCACATTGAGAAAATAAGGAGGCATAAAACAAATTTCCCTTGCTTAAGCAACAGAATTTTGTACGTAATTAGGGAGTCTTAAATAGGGAGTAGTAAACTCTGCTGGAAAATCCAGGTGGAAATCTGTGTGATGGTAAACTGCGAGAGGTCCAACTGAGAGAGCCTGAGAGAGATGGCTAAGGAGCTCTAAGGAAACTCTGTAGATTTCAAGTAGAAGGGCTATTAACCAGGAGTGTTTAAATGTCCAAGTAAGGATGACTAACAAGTTACAGGAATGTAAGTTTTAAGTAAAAAAGCTTAGATCCTAGTGAAGTGGAAGGGAAAGGAAGACTGAAAGAATGAAGTGCTTGCCTCCATGCTCCATGTGGGCCCACGGGTCTTTAAAGGCACAGTGGGATGAAGGCTCCTATTTTTCCTGCACCAGGACAAATGCTGTGATCAGGAGTGAGGAGTTGATAGATGCTGG